TCTCAAAGAATTGTAATTACTTGTTTTGATCTGTCTGGTACAACAGCAACAACATTTGCCTTATCTTGTCTACCTAAGAACTCAACCAGTGCTAAAGGGGCCATACTGAAACCATTCACAAGGCAAATGTGTTAGCTGCTGCTACCTGAAGCAATGGACAATAGTTTGACCAAACAAAGACCAACCAAAAGCTGTGAAGGAAAGGCTGGGTTATGAGATACTTTACAGAATAACGACTTTGAACAGCTCTGACCTATTTCTCCTGAAAATCCAGAAGATCACACACATACTGTGCACATGCTCAGGAAAGATCTGAAAAGTTCTCACCTCTGGCTGACCTGGAGGCTCTGGAGAAGCAGGAAGTTAAGGCTAAAGGAGAGATGTAAACTGCCTGGCTGAGTATGGAAGGTGTGCCAAAACACACACAGATGCCTCTGTAAAAACTGGGCAACGTTTTTGACTCTGGGCATTTAAGGAAATCTCTGGGCAGTGACTACTGATCATTAAGCTAATGGAAGAAAAAACTAAGCGGCCATATATAATAGACTTCAACAATTAGCTCAAAATTTAAAAACCAATTTAAAATTAAATTTTAAAAAATAGTTTAGGAAAGTCACTAAACAAACAAATGACAAAATCAAAAAGCAAAAGGATGAGAAAAGACATTTTATGCAAACTATAAACCAAGAGGGGGCTGGTGTGGCTATACAAATATCAGAAAGAGATACTTGAGGACAAAAACGTTGTGAGAGAGAAAGGACATCATATAATGATGAAAGGTCAATCCATCAAGAAGATATAACAATTATAAACACATGCAAAACTAATAAACGAATCTCCAAATACCTGAAGCATAAACTGACAGAATTAAAAGGAGAAATAGACAATTCCACAATAATAGTTAGAGACTTCAACATCCTGCTTTCAATAATGGATATAAGTCCTAGACAGAAGATTCAAAAGAAAGAGAAAATTTGAACAATATAAACCAAATACACTTAACATATCTATAGAACACTCGACCCAACAAGAACAAAACGCACATTTTTCTCCAGTGCACCTGAAACATTCTCCAGGAGAGACCATATGTTAGACCATAACACAAGTCTCAATAAATTTAAAAAGATTAAAATTATGTAAAGTATGTTCTTCAGCCACATGTAATGAAATTATAAGTCAATAACAGAAGGAAATTTGGAAAGCTCACTCTAGAAATACTTGCTTTCTCTAATTTTGCCAACTGTGTACACAGGGCAATTAGGCAAAAAAGAAAAAAAGAAAGGAAGAAAGGAAGAAAGAAAGAAAGAAAGAAAAGAAAAGACATCTAGATTGAAAGACAGAACAAAACTATATTTGCAGATGACATTATTTTCTATGTAAAAGATCCTAAGGTATCCACAAAAAAAAACTATTAGCACTAATAAAGAGTTCTGCCAAGTTTGCAGATATACAATCAATTTTATTTCTAAACACTAGTAATGAACAATCCAAAAAATAAAATTAAGGGAACAATTCCATTTGCAGTAGCACAAAAAAGAATTAAATACTTTGGAATAAATTTAACAAAAGAAATGTAAGACTTATACTTGAAAAATTGTAAAATGCTGTTGAAAGAAATTTTAAAAGACCTAAATAAATGGGAACATGCCCCATGTTCAGGTACCAGAACACTTTATGTTGTTAAGGTGGCAATACTCCCCAAATTAATCTACAAATTTAAAGCAATCCCTTTTAAAATTTCAGCTGGCTGTTTTTGCAGAAACTGACAAATGGTAATTCAAGGGACCCAGAATAGCTAAAACAATCTTGAAACAGAAGAACAAAGTACAAAGACTCATACTTCCAAATACATAACTTAGTATAAAGCTACAGTATACGTGACAGTGTGGTATGGCATGAGGACATATAGATCAATGAACAGAACTGAGAGTCTAGAAATAAACCCATACCTCTATGGTCAAATTGATTTTTCACAAGGTTGCCAAGACCACAAGATGGAGAAAGAAGAGTCTTTTCAAAATATGATGCAAAGAAAACTGAATAACCACATGTAAAACAATGAATTTGACACCTACCTCAAAAATTGCACAAAATTTAACTCAAAATGGGTCAAAGAATTAAATATAAGACCTAAAAGTATAAAACTAGGAAAGGTAGATATAAATTTTTGTGACCTTGGATTAGGTAACAGTTTCTTAGATAAGACACCAAAAACACAATAAACAAAGAAAAAAACAGATAAACTGGACTTTATCTAAATTAAAAACTACTGTGCATTAAAGATACTATCAAGAGGGTGAAAAGACAGTCCACAGAAGGGGAAAAAAATTGCAAATTATATACATAATAAAAATCTTGTATCCAGAATATACTTAAAAACTCTTACAGCTTCACAACAAAAAGACAACCATTTTTCAAAATGGACAAAGGATTTGAATAGACATTTCTCCAAAAAAGACATATAAATGGCCAACAAACATATTAAAAGATGCTCAATATCACTAGTGATTAGGGAAATGCAAATCAAAACAATGAGATACTACTTCACACCCACTAGGATGGCTATAATTTAAGAAAAAGAAAAAGAAGAAACTGGAACCCTTATACATTGCTGATGGGAATATAAAATGGTGCAAGACACTGTGGAGAACAGCTTGGCAGCTCCTCAAAAACACAGTTACCATATGACCCAAGAAGTTCAGGTACGTATCTAAGAAAACTGAAAATATACTTTCACACAAAAACTTGTTCATGAATGCTTATAGCGGCACTATTCATAACAGTAAAAAACCCAGAAACAACCCAAACGCCCATCAACTGATGAATAAAACTGTAGTATATCCATACAATGGAATATCATTCAGCCATAAAAAGAATGAAGTACTGATACATGCTACAAAGTGGATGAGCTTCAAAAGCATTACACTAAATGAAAGAACCAAGACACAGAAGACCATATATGTATAATTCCATTCATATTAAATGTCTCCACAGGGACAGAAAACAGATTGTTAGTTGCTAGAGACGAGATAGGGGGCATTGGGGAGTAACTGCTTAATGATTATGGCATTTCTCTTAGTGTGATTTAAAATGTTCTGGAATTAGATAGTGGTGAATGCTGCACAATATTGTGTATATACTAAAATTCACTAAATTTTACTTTAAAATGGCTAAAATGGTGAATTTTTGTTATACGAATTTTATCAGAAATAAACAAATACACAGGCAGATAAATACATAAAACATTACTTAACTGAAAATTACTACTGTTTAGTTGTGAAGGTCATTCTATTATAATTTGAAATAATGTCAGATATGTGTCAAATCTTTAAAAGTATGGTTCTAAATTTCTGGATCCTCACAATACATGTGTACAGATACCAATTCATCCTAGGCTTACAATTCATATTAGGAGGCTAAGATAGCAATTAAGCTGTTTTAATGACAGTTATCATACAGGATAAGTCAATCAACGAATACTGGAACAATTTGAACAAATTACCTTCAAAATCCTACAAATAAGATACAAAACTTTCCCTATGAAACTTGACTTTTTAATCAGCATCTATAGCAGAAAATTGCAAAACATGAATCATTTCTAAAGCCTTTAGAAATCACTAAGGAACTGCCAAAATGAGGCTAATATCAAAAAATATTTTTTGTAACTCAAAATAAGAAATGTTTATTCTGTTTTAAAAAGACATCCATGATGATAATGACCACACCCAGCTTTACACAGTCTTATCTTTAATCACTGCAAGTTTAACTGGAACAGCCTAGAAGTTTCTATAGTCCACGCCAAGTGATACTGTTTTTGAAGTTTTATAACTTGGTATTACTAAGATTTTTATATCAGTGAAGGTCCATAAAGAAGCTCTTTAGCAATACCAAAGTATTTTAAGATAAAAATTCAGTTTCCCTTAAAATGCTTAGTTTAGCAGAGTCGATTCTATGTTAAGCACTGCAAATTCTGAAATCTGGGAATCAGTGTCACTGTCATTGCCTCTAAGAAAGCACCAGGATGAATTACAGGAGAAAGAGCACAGCCCTTGGAGATGACCAATGGCTGAGAAGGCCAATATTTATGGAAAGCTCTAATTAACAAATTTGTAATTAACAAATATAATGGAATACTACTCAGCCATAAAAAGAATAAAATAATGCCATTTGCAGCAACACGG